AGGGACCTGCCTGGCTCCGGCTCTGCTCTTCTTTGTGTCAGCTTGGGGGATAATGAGTTGTAATTACCAGCACTGGCTCCCAGATGAGCTGTTTTGTTCGCCTGCATTTTCCCAGGACAAGATTCCTTATTTTATGCCCGCAGGGTGCCAAGGGAGGGGAGCTGGGGGATGTCACCCAAATGGTGAGGAAGGGGAGAAGGGAAACAAGGGGAAAAATTACTTTGCTCATTGAGGTGTTGGGAAGAAGGCAGGCATGGGAAGCCCCTGGCATGGCCAGAATAACACTGAGCATGCTGGGGCTGGGGCTGGTCAGCTGCTGAGCTCCTTTTCCCCCTCTTTGCTGGAGAAGACCTGGCCTATGTGGACTCCAGGCACAGCCGGTCCTCAGCTCTTGGGTTCAGGACCAATGTCTCACCATTGCCAGTCCATCCCATCTCTGGCAGCTCCCCTAACTTCCCAAGGCCAGGCGAGCGGCCGTTATCTTCCTCGATTTCTGCCTCTCTCCAGGTTATGTGAGCTTCCGCCAGCAGTACCCAGAGCTCTTCGACAACCTGACCCCCGAGGCTGTGCGCAGCACCATCGAAGCTGGCTATCCTGGTATCCTGGCCAGCAGAGACAAGTACGGCCGGGTGGTGATGCTCTTCAACATCGAGAACTGGGATTACGAGGAGATCACGTTTGATGAGGTCAGCCCAGTTCAGCCATCGCTCCCAGTGTAGAGTGGTCCCGCTCCCAGGCTTGTCCCGCTCGGCACGTTTGAGCGCAGCATCCCTTACACATACCCGTATGTCCACACACAGCCTCCAGCCATCCAGGTTGAAGCCAATGTGTAGCCCTTTGAATTTATCCTTCCAGGGAGTCTGGGAGAGCATGGTCCACCCCAAAGTGTTCCCCTTCCTTCCCTCTGATGTGGTGTAAGGTGCAGGCCAAATTCGGGGTGTGCATCCCCCAGCCCAGGTAACATAGGGTGAAGAAAGGCACCATGCCATTAAATCAAGGCACTTTAGAAAGGAGGGACTTGCAGGGCAGAGGAGGAAACTGAGGCACGGGGCATGGAAAGGGCTTCTTGGCAAAGAGGTCTCCAGACATGTAATTCATAACTTCTCCCAGCTCCCTTTTCTGCTCAGCTCTGAATTTGGTCACAACATATCATTGATCCAGATCTGAGATGCACCTAACTGGAAAGGGGAATGTGGTGGTTGTGGAGCATCTCCCGAAATGCCCTCCCTGCTCCGAAGTCCTGGGGTTGGCTGCAACAAGCAGACTGGCTAACGCTCCATGGGACTCTTCCTGGGAACCTCCTGGGGACTATGGGAGGTAAGACCTAATACCAGACCCTGCTGCCTCTTCTCTTCACCAGATACTTCGTGCCTATTGCATCATCTTGGAGAAGTTGCTGGAAAATGAAGAGACCCAGATCAATGGGTTCTGCATCATCGAGAACTTCAAGGGCTTCACCATGCAGCAGGCATCAGGGATCAAACCTTCTGAGCTCAAGAAGATGGTGGACATGCTGCAGGTGAGGTGGCAAAGTCTGTGCCCACCAGTGGCAGAGAGGGCCCTGGGGGAGCAGAGAGCTCAGGGAAGGGAGGCAGCAGGGCTAGCAGGGTTTGGGATTGCCACCGCAGTGGCACAATGATAAAGCATCACGGAGGGGCTGTTCCCATCACACGGTCCTTGCCTTGCCAGCTAATTGATTTAATCCTGCCAGATGGATCCTATTTTTCCTACCCCACCTACCTGCCCTCTCAAAAGCCTGACCAGAAGCAGTACCACCACTCCTTGCAGCACCCTATGGCATGGCCTGGAAGCCTTTCCTCACCAACATCTCAGCCCAGCCTGGTCCAGGCTGGACAGAGACTCACAGGCACTCCAGGATTTCTGCCCTTGGACCAGAGGCAAAAGACACTCGGCTTTCCCCAGGGAAGGAGGACAGCAGAGATGTTGTCCTTCTCATGGAGTGGGAGCAATGACCCATCTGGGAGGCTCTTCAGCTTCCCTGGTGCTCCTGGTGCTGGGATGGCTGATCCTCTGGGTCAGAACAAAAGGGGCCATCAAAGAGAGAACGGGAGATTGGGTGAGGGGAGCTGCGGCAGCACCAAGGTGTCCATTGCTGCCTGCCCAGCTCCACATGGACAGCACCATCTGTAACTGTCCGTGTCTGGGTTTGGGATCCTAGGACTCCTTCCCAGCGCGGTTCAAGGCCGTCCACTTCATCCACCAGCCTTGGTACTTCACCACCACCTACAACGTGGTCAAACCATTCCTGAAGAGCAAGCTGCTGGAGAGGGTGAGTGTGGGAAGGGGACCCAGAGGCAAAGGCATGTCCCTGAGTGAAACAGAGCGGCTGGGAAGAGTCACCCGGGTACTCTGCTGAGGATTGCTCACATCTCCCTCCAGGTCTTTGTGCATGGGGAGGAGCTGGAGTCCTTCTACCAGGAGATCGACGCTGACATCTTGCCAGCAGACTTTGGTGGCAACCTGCCCAAGTATGATGGCAAAGCAACTGCAGAGAAGCTCTTTGGGCCCCGCATCGAGGCTGAAGACACGGCTCTCTAAACGGGGGTCTGCTCCCTCTCCCCTGTACAATAGGATGAGAGGTGGCCCTCTAACCCCAACCACCTCCTTAATGTAGCATTGGTTGAATGACTGCTCATGATGAGGCGCTCTGGGCGCGTTGCTCCACGCCTGTCCCTCCCCTCCCCAAACCAGGCAGCGGGCTGCCCGGCAGCTCTGTCTCTCCCAGGCAGAGCATCCTTCCCTTGGGAGTCAGCAGATAAAGGAGGCCACCAGCCCTCTCTTGCAGCATGCCCTGGAGCTGTGGGGGGAGGACAGGAGAGCATCCGCTCTGGGAAGGGGGGGCTAAAGTGAGGGAGAAATAAAGTGTTTAAAAGCAGAGCTCTGGGGTCCCCTGTGGCATGTGGCAAGGAACAGGGGTGCAGCTTTTTGGGCACAGGAACTGGCTGCGCTGCTGGTTTTAAGGAGGCCAAGAGTGTCAGCACTTGGTAGGAGATCCCTGTCCCCCCCACCATTGACTGCCCTTTGGCATAGGGGCCAAGGAACCAGCCTTCTCCATCCTCCCTGTGTTCCAGAATGAGCCCCACCCCTGCTCAAGCAAGGACCCCCAATTCTCAGTTATCTGGTCCCAGAAAAAACAGCCCAAAAGATGCAAACAAGAACCCAACTAGGAGCCCAAGTGTTGCTGGCTCTGCCTAATTACCGCTCAGCCAGGCAGGGAGGCAGAACAGAGGCTGCAGCAGCCACTAAGACTAGGAGATAGATTTTAACCACAGGACAGTGAAAGACAAACAGAATATACCCTCCTAAATCCTTCAAAAGCCTTAGCACAGCCATTTCTCCTAGCACTGCACTGTGAGAGGGGGAGCTTAGTCAGGGAAGCCCCAACAAAAGACACCAACGGAGAGCAGAGGAGGGTCCTTGCCCAGCAAATGAGCTGTGACTGATGCTAATGCTAATTAGCCCTTGCTAATGTGGAGTTAGCAGGAACCAGGTGGGGAGGACAGAGGCAGAAGTAGCTGTGTCCCAGGCAAGGCAGTGTGTTCTGGTTCATGAACCAGGCATCTCCTCCAAGGAGCTGATCAGATACCCATTTCCAGACCATCTTCTCCTCCCTAGGCCAACAGTAGGGCTTGGAGAAGAGCAAGTTGCTGGTCTCTGCCCAGGTTACCTTCTTCTCTGTCAACCTGGTCTCGCAGCATGCCCTGTCCTCCCCTCCCTCCCTCCCAGCTCTGCAGCTACACACGGGCACCTTTCATCAGCCAGAAGGCCAGACCCCCACCCGAAGTCAGCCGGGGTGGAGGGTGCTGACAAGAACCGTATTCATCAGGGCACTGGCTCAGGCTCAAACCAAACAGGACGTTGGCTCTGAAGCTGCGGGGAGGATGGGGCCTGTCTGGGCAGAGGCAACTGGGGTTAAATCTGTTTTCTCCAGCTTCAGCAGTAGGCTAGTCCATGCACAGCAAGTCCCAGCCTGAGGCTGCACCAATTTGTGCAAGAGCCCAGAGGGAGAGTGAAAGGTACCTCTCTGCTGCATTTGGCTCCTTACTGTGCCATGCTCTCCATGGGGCCAGGAAGCATCTGGAATTATCTTAAGGAAACCACATGTGACAACCCTACAACAATCAGGCCAGTGCAAACACAACAGCACAGCTTGCTTGGGAGACGGAGCAATTGCAGCTCACTTGTAAAAACAGAAAAAGACAAAAAAAACCCCACACATGCAGACAGGAGCACCACACTGCTGCCTCTGGGATTTGGACTGGGACAGTCACAGCTCTTAGGAGGTCCCTGTGGCTGCTCACTACTGCTGGGACAAATTGTCAGCCAGTAGCTGGCTTTGACAGGGAGACATAGCACAGCAAACACATCAGGGAGCATGATCCATGCTGGCCTCAGCTTCCCCCAGAGCAACTCTGACCAAGCCAGGAGGGGGTTTTGAAGTAGATCTAACAGCTAAATCGCAATGGCAAATAAACTAGAGATGGAGCCCAAAACACTGCCTCCCACAAAGCAATTATCATTACAGGGGAAGAGCAGTGATGCCTCACTGCTCCCAGTTACCCTCCACATCTGTCTCACTTGGTCTGTAGGTAAAAAAAAACCAAAACACACACACCAGCGAGGTCTCAATGTCAGTTAAATAGTGCTTTTGGCAGGGCTTTTCTATGCCCTGGGCTCAAAGAAATCAGTGTCCTGGCCAAGGATGCTGTTGTGTGTTTCTTCTGCCAGCAGCTGAAAGATTAGGAAATCCACTTGCTTTCAAGTAGAGAAAAGTAACAGATGATGGTTTCTGCAGAAACACAAGCCAAAAGCTTTGCCACACACTCCAGGGAAGCTGTTGTCCCAGAGGAGAGCCCTTCTGCACGCTGCAGGAAGGGCCACAGCTAAGCCCTGCATCCCTCTTTGGCTCTCAGTTCTGGCACAGCTGTAGGTCTGGCTCTGGAGAATTCCTCCAGCCAGCAACCTAGTGATCGTGGGAGCTGACACAGGACTGTCAGAACCTGCTCTTGTCCACTGGCAAAAATAGCCCTTCTTCAGCATTTTCAGGGCATGCATTCAGCTTTTTAAGCTTATGCCATCTCAGTCCTCCACCAGAGCAGCATCAGAGACCCCTCTTGGCCAGAAGACAAAAAGCAACTAGGAAAGGCTTGAGCATCACTAGTGCTTGTATCACATGCTGCAAGGGAGAGAGAGGGAAAAGATAAAGTCAACTCCAGTTAGCTCCTGAAGTTGGGCCTCAGGGAAGGCTGAGCTGCCAGACTCTCTCAACTGCCAAGAAAGCCACATGCTCCTTTGCTCAAGAGCCTGCTAGACACCCCATGCTTAGCCACCAAGCCCAGGCCCAGCACATGTGAGAGCCAGAGCAAGTGTTGGATGCTCCCATACATAGCAGGAATTATTAGGACCGACTTCTCCCTAGAGGCTTTCTGTAGCAGCTCTGTCCTTGTTCCGCTCTCTGGAACATAACAGAGGCAGAGGAAGGCTCCAGCTGGCGATGACAGCAGTGGCAGGGGCACATGCACTATTCATGGGTTGTTACATACAGTCCCTGTGCAGTCTTCCCATTTATCCACTTGACACTCGCTTCAGCTTTCAGTGGGCAGCAGAGCCAGGTCTCTGAGAGGTGGGCACAGAAGCTGCAACAACTGAAAGGCAGAGAAGACACCTCCAACGCTACCACCCCTCTTGTCCTCCCCACCCCCAAAGTATGGAAGGAATGCAAGCTTGAGGTTTCTCCCTCAAAGGAGGGGTTCATTCACATTTCCTCGAACAGTTAGAGCCCTTGCATTTACCACTGGAATAGCCAGCTAGCAGGTCAAAACATAGAGGCAACACCAGAGTTCATGAAACAGAAGTCACTGACAAAAGTTATCCTGTCTAGAAGTGAGGGAGCAGCAAGCCAACTCTTGCCTTGATGTACACCACAGGGATATAAGAACAGCCTTTCCCCAAGAAAGTCTTGTTTTAGACAGCACTAGCGAACAGAAACTAACATTAACACCAATTCACATGTAAGGGTTGGGGCTAAAGGACTCCTGTTGTTCCTCCTTTAGCTAATCCAAATCTTATAACTGAGGGAACACGTTCAGCTACCCACTTACATTTTAATCAATATTACCTTATTGGCCCAATGTATTCCCACATCAGGTGTTCCTCTCCCTGCTGCAGAGGAGGAGAGTAAGAAAGCATGGCTGCTTTGCCTGTCAAGAGTTACAGCTCGACTTCATCACCCAACAACATTGCACACAGTCACTACACATAGCACTGACTTCAATAAGTCCTTTATTTTTAAATAAAGAAATCCCACTGAATCCAAGATAACAAAATTACATTTTGTTTTGCAATGACCTCCATTTTACACCACACAGAAGAAAAAATTAAAGAAAAAAATCAAAGACATTGTTTTAGATATATATTTTTATATATATATAATTTAAAAGGTAAACATCAGCAGATATAGAAAAATTGCATTGCTAGTTGCAAATCATTTCCCCTGCAGCTGTCAGCTCCAGAGAATCTGACTCAGAACATGGCAGGAGGGAGGGTGTCTCAGTATACAAGCTTTTCCAGGGCAGCATTTAGAGATGGTTGCAGAGTATAATTTTGCCAATTTGAAGATATTTTCATAATAAACTGCTCACCAAGAACATTAGAAGTCACTCAGCCTGTTTTAACACAGCTGCATGGGCAAAATGAGAATGGCATAGGTCTGTTCTTCCTGAGCTCTCCACATACCTCTTCAGCTTGGGATTTTCAGAGAAAGAGGTTATGCTTTCTCAAGAAGAATGTCTAGTGATCTGTCACTGCGAATTATGGTCAAGTTGTCAAGTAACACAATGCAAAAACATGCTCCTTTGGAAAGCTGCTGACTTGGGCTAAGCAGTAGGGTTTGCCTATATCAAATACATGTGGGTTTCTATTGGCGCTTTTTTTTTTTAAGACTTCCCAGTTGGCAGGAGCCATGAGAAGGGTCCCAGTAGAACTATAGCGGAGATCTAGAAGATCTAGAACAGAGTTCTGTATCTAATCAAAGCTCTTGCATGACCACAGATAGACAATATGAGCTTGCCATTCAGAGAGAAGCAAAAAAGCTTTGTGTAGAGCCACCTTGTGGAATTGGTCTCCTTACTGGCATTAAACCTACCTGGGCTAGGCAAGGCCATTGGGTGAGAATTAAAAAAAAGCCTTTATCCACAAGTGATGTGGCATTGGAGCTTTTGGAGAGTGTTATCAGATAGACTTGAAGAAAGCTGTTCAGTACCAGCAGAGCCAACCTGGTAAATGCTGCCCTGGATTGCAGTGTTTGTGTCCATTGATTAACCACCAAAACCAACAATACAGATGTACAGAATGCAACTGTTCAGGATAACCCTAGAAACCCTTCCACCACAGCATGGAAAGCTGGCACCTGCTTTGACTCATTGATGGCACTTATCTCTAAGCTTCCCCAAAAGCCGAGCAGGTCCAGGCCAGTGTAACTGACACTCCCAGCAACAAAAGGGGTGCAGTTACAAGGCACCCCTCCCTTGGGCTGGTGCTGCTCTGAGGCATTCTAAGCTTAGAGAAGACTCAAAGTCCTCACACCAAGAAGGCCTGCTTGCTTTGCACCTAGAAGCCATG